GACGCTCTTTAAGTCTCGGTCCGGAGTGCTACACATCGATGACTGGTCTCAGTGTCACATTGACATTTGTGTTGTATTGGACAATGTGAAATAAAAAGTGCGGTTTTTTTCCTCATCAGCTTACTTCTTTCAATATGCTTTTGTGCACAGTACCATTAAGTCCCACGGAAGTAATATATAGGTTCTACATATGATATTATAGGTTCCTGTTTAGCACATGTTAAGATACGTTAAGCTGAGAGCTGTTTGGCCTCACAAGATGTAAACCACGCCCCAGCAAACATCTGAATATGCAGCAGGGCAACTTTACCATTTAAGAAGTTTATACCAGGGCTGCTTCTGAGTGTCGTTCAGACTTTCTACCCTTGTCCTCCGGTGACTCTACCATCGAAGAAAGCTCTCCTCAAAGCCTTCCTAAGTTAACTGGGCCCCTCATGGCTGAGGAACAGGCCCCACAAATCATACACATTTTTACACATCTGCTGACAGAATATTTTTATCAGTATTCACCTGATCCCCTTAGTTAATCCAGAGTCCAGTACTTTCTGTTCCGGATCCAATGCCCAAGCCAGTTGCTGCTGCTTGGCTATGATTGTTGCCTCCTAACATTTCTCCTCCTCGAGCTGGTGCTTCTTTCAAGATATTGCCGGTGAGAAGGCAAACAAATTCCAAATCTGCTATCGCAATTATCAATTGTTTGACAAGGCAGGGTGCTTTATGGAAATCAAAGATCCTTCTAAGTAATGACCCTAATTCTAAAACTGCCTCATTTGTGAAGACGTGCTGATGGACACATGAAGACAGCAGTTCTGCTCTCTGAAATCACGTGAAACTACATGAACAGTAAGGAACGCTAATGTTTCTGTCTCAAGGAAAGTCTTTTTTTTGGCTGGTTTGTATCTTAAAGTTTAAACCTTTACACAGAATATGGAGCAGAGGAAAATGGTAAAAAGCACAAGCGTTTAGGTGGCCTAGTGTGCAGGAGCTGATAGCTTTACACATACTGAACTTCTTTAAAGTTTCTTCCGTGAAAACCAGACCTGAAAGGAAGGAAAAGGCAGGCATTTATTCCCAGCTGTTGTCTAGAGCCAACAATTAAGTAAAAGGTGAGTGATGAGGACGTTCTGATTACATGACATATTCCTGTAAAGGTTTTCCTTCATCTCTGCTAGTTATATGCTAAGGCCTGTACAGGTTTCCATATTCCAGTGGGTTTCTTCTGCGGCCCCTGACGACAGAAATAAAAAGAATTTACTCATCAGTTGCAGACGGTAGCATTTTTTACGGAAGCAGTATACGTTTCTTGTCTTGTTCATGCTGTGCCACATCCCTTCTGATTCTTTACAAACATGCCTTCTTCTGCAAACCTTACTGAACTCCAAATCTGTTTTAAATTACACTCCACATGACAGGTGCAGTCACTGAGATCCCTTGGATAACACGAGCCACCTTCGACTTCATGCACAGAGGCTTTGTGCACAGAATATTTGGATCGTAACAGCCCAATTTGACTGCTCTGGAAAAAAAAGTATGTAGCTGCACAGGAAGTTTCAAAACCTCTATTTAGTAATTTTGGTGTTTTGCAAACTAGCGTATACTTTGGGAAAAGTCACATGGATTGGATGTTGTATTGCAAAGAAAGTAGGACTATGATTTCTATTAGATATGTGTTTTCAAATGCTTCAATTTTTACAATTGCCTTTGTAGCTACTTACTTGAAAACTAGTAGAAATGTTTGTATGGAGTCTTCCGGCTCAACTTCTTTTCCAGGCAAGGCAAGCTGAACTTGGGTGGAAACATCAGCTATATATTCTTAACCTTTTTTTAAAACATCCATTTTCTTTAGAGATAACAGGGAAAGGCCTCCCCAAAGACAGAACCGTTCTTCTAAACAATGTATTGCTGAGTAGGAACAGAAAAGTTCCAACTGAATGATGAAAACAGTTTTATTTTATTTATTTAAAATTATCCTCTCACTTCAGATCATCCCCCGTGTAGCTCATAATTGAAGACTTCTAGCAAAGACAAACAAGGATGCAGAATCCCAAGGAGCAGAGACTACAGAGACCACCTGGTTGGCAGTGAAGCCTGATCAAGAAATAGGTGCAGAGTGGGGATCTCCTTTCTCCCCAGCTCCCAAAATAACATTGTGAAACACCTTGGTGAAACTTCTCCAGCAGAATTTTCGAGGAAGTCACAGTATATAAAGAGCCAGACCTTAGAAAGTCTCTGCCCACTTGATCACTGTGGTGGCTGACAGGGGTGAGAAAAGGAACTTGCACCAATTCCATGAAACGCAGGATGCGGGGCAGCACACCTCCCCTGGGGCAAGAAGGTTGCTGTTCCATGCCACCACCTTCTCTTGCAAGTTTTGCTTTCTGTGAAGGACACTGCTTACTCCCCAGTGGTTTTGGCTGGAAGGCAGATGATTTCATAGCTTGCTTTGACAATGAAGAGATTCAGTGTCGTCACTGGACCTCCGGGTTTTGTCACTCTGTCCTCCCTCCCAAGGAATGAGATCATTGTTTCGTCGGGTCAAAATTAAGAGAATATTACAGTGAAAATGGCACATCAAAAACTAGCTTGTCAGTCAAATCCAAAGCTACTATTAGGCTATTTTTAAGGAGACCTGAAAGCCTTTCTAAACAAAAATGTTACATGTTCAGCTCAAAACAAGAGCAAAACATTTGCAGAGACAGGGCACCTGGGTACATGTACTTATGATGGAGCTGCTGGTGATTTAGATTGTCACTGTTGCTTTTGAACACTTCCAGCCGTACAGCGGGTAGGTTGTTCGCAGCGCATTCGGAAAAAGCACTGGCCATATTTGCCCTTTTCCTGAGGCTGCAGGGCCAGCCTGTACACAGCCC